CCCCATCCCAGTATGTATGCTACACCAAGATGTCATCCCTTATGTACCTACTACATCCTCTAACCATGGCTGATCACTTTGCTGACATAGTAGAAATATATCATCTGAAGGGGAAAAGTACTACGCACTTATGGCCTCGAGCGTAGTATGCTGTTCGTTTTTGTTGAAAGTGTTCAGCTGAAACCTCGACGCATATTTCCGCTAGTAGAACGGCAAGCAATTATTCCCGCTGTGTGAGCTGTTGATCAGAAATTGCTGGGCTTCTATATACTACGTAATCGGCTTTGAAGTGCTTCTTATTTAGAATGCCTTGGCTGGCTTACAAATTCCTTCAGGTACTTTTGTGTTTGTTCAGTTAACGATAATGCACTTTTCAATGCTTGTACTTCCAAAAATATTCAATGCTGCATCTCGTAAAGTACATTACAGTATCCTTTGCTCATCTAAAATTAGCAATGCTCATCTAGAATTAGCAAAACTTATAATTAGCAAAAGTTACGGCAATCACGTCAGAAGGCAGTAATAGTAGCTTTTAGCTAGGCTATTCTTGGCTAAAAAAGTTCTTCTTTTATCACACAAGGGACATATTTGGTTGAACTGTTAGCTAAACTTTCAACAAAATTGGCAAATTTTTGCTAAATAGAAGATTGAACCATTTAGGGTGACACTATTAGGACGTCCCAAAAGTGTTTCTTCGTTTGTGAAGTTTGTAACTTTTAGCTATCTTGACGGATTTGCTTCTTTGTGATCTTGTTGGAAAGAAGAAGTCTTCCTTTTTGTCTAAGTTCCAAAAAGTTTGAGTCAAAAAAGGCAAACAAAGCTTTCATTCAAAGTATTGCAAAGGAAAGTTGCCACAAAGCCACATTGTAGCAAAAGCCATTTCTAGGTATCTAAAAAAGGCAATAATAAGTAGAAAATTGATAAAAACCTATTCTGACAATCAACTTCTGTACTTTTACACCCTTCGCAACTTTTTGCATGGCTGCGCTGCTTCTCGGTTACTAACCGAGTAGGAAATACAGT